AACTCAAAGGCTAACTCGGGCCAAATACACAAGGTTTACATTTATGTGGGCCTCAAGAAAACAAAAGCTTTAATTTTCATAGAAACATAGGTGTTTTTTTTTTTTGATAGATACGTGCTGAGTACAGAGGGCTGAAATAAATGAGTAATATTAACATAAAATAATAGAACATTTTAATAAAAATTAATATTTTTTTCTTGAACATTAACTTACCAGACACTGAATAACTGCACAAGTGAGTAAACATAAGGCAATTAAACCTATTTTTCTTGTTCTCCAAAAGCGAAATATTTCCTCTTAGGCACATCGAACAAGTCAGCCCAAGACTAATGACATGGCAATTGGCTGCTAAAATATTCGCTGCTGGTATTAGTGGAGAGAAATGGTGCGCCTGCACATAAGGCGCGTAAGGGAAATGAATGCAAATGTTTATAATAACCGGTCATTAGGGAACGTTGTAGTTCGTTATTAATAATTATGCACACCAGGATATTGTAAAAATTAAGTCACAAAATTTTTACTAAAACCTTTCTTACACACCTTTATATTGGCTGGGCCGCAAAAATATTCATTATGGGGCTGCATAAGGCCCACAGGCCGTGAGTGTGACATGCCTGGTCTAGGACATAAGCCCGCTTTCCAGGTCTCTGAAGCTCTGAATTCCTAGCTCATCTCTCCAGAGAAGACCAGGCATGAGACCTTCAGAATAGGCTTCCATTCCTATTATCCTCCTTGTAAGTAAGACCCAACAATGAGAAGCAATGTACACTCACAGTGACAGCCTCCCAGCAGCCGCAGTGACCACAGGCTGGCCACCCCGAAGAGCATACTCCACTGCAGCAGTATTTTCTTAAAAGAGTGGTCTGATTTATGATCCAGGAAAACATCGGATCACTCAGATCATGAGCCTATCAAACTTAGTATCACGAATGCTTTTTTGCTTACCCATGGTTATGCTTTAAATTTAAAATACGTTACAACAAGCCTCAGTAGTATACCTCTCATTATCATAGTGACTGAAGAATTTCGTCAGCCCAGAGCCTCGATCATGAGTGATCCTGTGCTCTCCAGTACTTTACCTTCCATCTTAATTATGCTTCCACGGCATTTTATTAGATTCCGCGTAGACTACAAGACGAGTCTTAAGCATACCAACTACTCCAGCTCCCGCCCAATAATTCATCTTTATAAAATGCAATCTTGCAAGTTAATTTGTACCACATGGGCACAGACGTGGCTCACTACTAGCAGGTGCTATGGTGCTGAAGCACCAAAAGTATCCCAGCCGGTGTTGCTCAGTGGTTAAGCATCAACCCATGAACCAAGAGGTTGCCAATTCTATTCCTAGTCAGGGCACATGCCTGGGGTTGTGGGCTCAATCCCCAGTAGGGGGCATGCAGGCGGCAGCCGATCGGTGTTTCTATCTCTTTCTCCCTCTCCCTTCCTCTCTCTCTCTAAAGTCAATAAAAACATCTTTAAATAAATATTTTGTTAGGCGAACGTGATAACCACTACACTACTATTATGAACAACATAAACTGATGAACAAAAACAGATCCAGAGACAGAGAAACATCAATCAGAATGTCAAATCTCAGGGAAAGTAGGAGACGGTAGGGGTAAGGGGGAGAAATCAACCAAAGGACTTATATGCATGCATATAAGCCTAATCAATGGACCCAGACAACAGGGGGGTGGGGGCATGAATGGGGGTGGGGATAATGGGGGCATAAGGACACATATGTAATACCACAATCAATAAAGAAATAATAAAATAAAAAAGCAAGAGATTTCAATAAATGAATAAATAAATATTTTGTTTTTAAACAGGAGGGGGATAAATAGGGATAATTGCATCCCTCAGCCCTTATCCCTAATCCTGAATTTGGACATAGAAAGGAAAAGTGAAAAAAGAAACATCAGTCAGGTCTCCTTTTGAACTGTTTAAAATGAATGATCATTTGATTTTTTAAAGGCACCTGTGTGAGAGAAAATGAAATCAAAACGGAAGAATGATGAAGTTTTCCACATTAATGAGTCACTCATATCAAAGTAACTAATGTGAAACCAGAGTGACAAAAATCACTTTAGTGATCAAAAACACTCAGCATGTGAAAGAATTAGATTTACTCAAAAGAATATTTCAAAGTTATTATTAGACAAATGACTCACAACGTGGCATTTTATAATCCACCTATGAGACAGTAAACATCCTTGCACAACTTTTCATGGTTACAGCTGCATTTTTAAAAGCACCTTTTGTGTAGAATATGAGAAAATAAGTATGATTTAAACTACTCTCCACATTGTAAGTAGTTAAGAATCAAGATGCAGTAAATGAGTTATCTCCCGGGTTCCCGTTTTAGGATCGTTACATGGTAACATGCATACATTCAACAGGAAAATAACGGAAGCTCCTTTACTGCCACTTCAGTTCAAGACACATCCAAATGGAAGCCACCAAATAAAAGCCTTTCCAAGCAGGAGCCTAACTTTCTTGAATCAAGGAGAGCTTTATCAATGACAACAGCAGCATCACAAATCATACTGTATTAGAAACCCTGAGGGAAGATAAAAGAAAGATATGACTGAAAGGAATTAGTTACTTAAGAGCATAGTTTCAGATACTAAAAAACAACTACGATTAAACACATCCTAAATCGGCCTGGTCTCAGCCCCGTGACCACAAGCTCCCTACTTCCCTGGGCCCGGCGTCCGCACCTGCAGGGCAAGCACAGTAATGCCGGCTCCCTGCGGTGGGGGCACAGCGTCAGGTACATGTCATCATGGTGGTGCTATCACGTGATTTTTAGTCTGAAATCCAGGTGAGAATCCAACCTGGAGCGCTCTGCAGCCCCCCTGCACCATCCTTTGCAAGCATTTCTGATTAGGGTTATGCCAGTGGTCTGCAAATTGCGGCTCTCTAGTCCCTTGAGTTTTTAGCAAAGGCCAGCTTAGGAGTACCCTAATTAAGTTAATAACAATGTACCTACCTACATAGTTTAAAAATTTGGGCTCTCAAAGAAATTGCCATTGTTGTACTGTTGATAGTTGGCTCTGTTGACTAGTGGGTTTGCTGACCACTGGGTTATACCATTCTCCTGAGTTTGGCCCCACAGAGAAGGAGGAAGGAATAACGAACCAGAAATGCAGACAGAATGGGTCAGGAGGCAGTTTTTCAAATAGAAAGTGGTGACTTTAAACAGGGAAATGTTTTAGTTCTTTTCCATTTCCCTCACGAATGCATAGGGACATACCTAGTATAACTCAAGGTACCCAGAATACCCAGGCTGTAAAACGCTTGGATTTCCAACGGGATGCTGTGATCAACAGTAACAGCTTGGTCCTTGTAGAGACCCCTGAGTTAGTGCCCAAGCAGCACAGTTTGTAAAACAAGAAGTTACTTTCCAAGCTTCAACACTATCGATCTTTCATGGAGATACGAGCTTTAATCTCCCGTAATTGCAACATGTTCCTGGAAAGGAAGCATGACATACCCATAAAAAGACAGAAAAGGAAGTAACGTATCGGTATAGAAGGACTCATAACACCCCACATACTTTTCTCCCATCCACTCTCTTGCTTGGGGCACTAATGTCTCACAGTCCAGCCTCCCTCCTGGTCTACAGGGCTCCCTGAAGGGACCAGTCACTTCTGTCCCTCTCTCCTTTTCTTGTGCTATTTTTCTTACAGCAGAACATCATCCCACATCTCTCCAGAGGGCATTCTATGCATCCTTCAGAGCCCAATTCAGAGCCGCCGCCTAAGGAGCCCAGACATCCTCCTCCTCCTCCTCCTCGCATGCTCCGACACGGCTTCATTCAGACTTCTACAACAATGAGCTGTTTCATCGAGGCTGCTCCGCTCCACGCTCCCTGACACCAGACTGTCCCCGTAGCGTCTGGCACAACAGATTCAATGGAGGTCCGCATGTCTGGCATAATCTCCTACGACAGGTAGTAAGCACGAGTTGAATGGCTGTTACTTCATCCTTCCACACCTCCACAACCAAGTCGGTGCTGCAGTTTAAGTCTGACACAAGGGGAACTGAGAGGCCACGGAGAGGGCACGTGGGTTGCCAGCCTGGAGCCTGGACCCGTACGCTGCCTGGGTTTGGGTCCCAGCGCTGCCATGTTCTGACTGGGTGATCTTGGGCAAGTGACCAAATGTCTCTGTGTCTCAGTGACTGTTTCCTCCTCTGTGAAATGAGGTAATAACACTGCTTACCCATTTCAGAATCGTGAGGATCAGATGTGTTAATGAAAAGTGCTTCTACCCGGCTGGCGCGGCTCAGGGGTTGAGTGTCGACCTGTGAACCAGGAGGTCATGGTTCAATTCCCTGAGAGAGCGCATGCCCAGGCTGCGGGCTCGACCACCAGGAGGGGGTAGGCAGAAGGCAGCCCATCCATGATTCTTTCTCATCACTGACGTTCCTACCTTTCTTCTCCTCCTCTCTGAAACCATTCTGTGTTTGGAACAATGTCTAGGAGTAAGCACACAGGTGATTGCTAGTGTTTCAAGTACAGGAAATTATCCACATCAGACTTTGTGTGGGGCCATCCGTGACTACGATCCACATCTCTAAACACCCATGGTCTCACCCACGGGATCATGGACGCTGACGGGAGTTCGAGCAGCTCTAAAACAGAATGTGGCTCTCTTGTCAGCTTGTTACCCGGACTCTCCTCTTATCCCATTTCTCATACAGTTTTGTCCAAGTTGGAGCTAAACCTGTAACACCTTCCCATCCTATATTTCTACCCTCATTATTTATCTCCTAACTGCCTCCTGGAGTCACCCCGCATATTATCGATGGAACTGGTATTTCCCCAAATGCCCAAACCAGAGATATTGGACAAAACAGATAGCCAGGAAAAGCACCAGAGATGAACTGCCCTCAAGCTAATCTTACTTTCTGAACTCCCTCTTAAATAATTCTTATCTTGTGCTGACAATTCATCAAATCATTCCCTTCCATCCCTTTTTTTTTTTTTTTTTTTGATAGAAACCTATTTCCAGAAACCATTTTCCACTTTGTATAATTTAACAGAGGGCTTTTTCTGTTTTTAATGTAGCCTCAGTAATCTCAATTAGATTTGACTATTAATACTGTTCCAATACTGAGATGTTTACAGATCGGGTTTAGTCTACCATGAGGTTTCAGTGCTTGGTAGAAAACAAGACCTCAAAGCCGAAACCAGTTTGGCTCAGTGGATACAGCGTCGGCCTGTGGACTGAAGGGTCCCAGGTTCGATTCCGGTCAAGGGCAAGTACCTTGGTTGTGGGCACATCCCCAATCGGGGATGTGCAGGAAGCAGCTGATCAATGTTTCTCTCTCATTGATGTTTCTAACTCTCTATCCCTCTCTCTTCCTCTCAAAAAAAATAAATAAAAATAAATCAATAAAATATTTTTAAAAGACCTCAAATAAAGGGCGTGTCATGGAAATTCTGACAGTCGAGGACAGGGAAGCCTTAATTCTCTGTCACCAAGAAATGTTCCATGTTTCCCTTAACGCCATCATTCTTTCCTCTCCTAATATAAATCCAGGCTTCGTAAGTACCCAAAAAATTTCCACTTGGCTCTGAGAGATGTTTTCGGCAGAAGAGTGAGAATCTGAACCCACACCCCACCCGCCGGCCTGGTAGTCTTCTGCACTCCCGTTTCTAAGGAGGGGATACAGTCCCGTGCTGAATGGGGTGCTTTTGGAATGGAACCATACACAACGTGAGAACTCCGACAGGTCCAGCTTATTGCACGTCTACTTAATATTACTCTGTCTTTCCTTCTGGGCAGATGAAACTTTTAAAGTGGCTGTAATTCAGGTATAACCATCCTCCTCCGGCCTCTCTACGGTGCCCTTGTCTATTTCTCTCACACCAAAGCCCAGGAGCGTCCTGGGTACGTTTCTTGTTGAAGAAAACCAGAACCAGTCGTGCTGAGCTACTGCCTCTGGAGCGTGGCCATCTGTGTCAGCTATGAGCAATCTTGACAGAAGGCGGGACACTCCATGGCTGTACCAGACCCGTGGATTGGAGCTGCTTTTCATCCCTCTCCCGCCCCACCCCCCACCCCAGGATATGTCCCCCCTCCTGCTGCGGCCCGCAACATGCTCATTTTATTTGTGACAATAAGATTCATTTCTGGCCAAAACCCGTTTGGCTCAGTGGATAGAGCGTCGGCCTGCAGACTGAAAGGTCCCAGGTTCGATTCCGGTCAAGGGAATGTACCTTGGTTGTGGACACATCCCCAGTAGGGATTGTGCAAGAGGCAGTTGATGGATGATTCTCTCTCATCAATGTTTCTAACTCTCCATCTCTCTCTCTCTCTTCCTCTCTGTAAAAAATCAGTAAAATATATTTTTTAAAAAGAAATTTACTTTAAAAAAAAAAGATTCATTTCTGACGCTTGGGTACCTCTCTAAAGACAGAAGGGCAGCACATGGAGCGGTTTCCTCTTAGGGTGCTCATTTTGTAAGCTTAGCATTACATATAACTTGTGAGAGGTACAGATTAAGATTTCCTGCTCCGTGTTTTGAATAAGTAGGCTTAGCTTTGGAAAGCACTTTTCCTTAAGCCACCTAAAGATCTCCCTAACTTTGGATCATAAACAGATTAAAAAAAAAAAAAAAACAGGCAGGCAGAAGTCACTGTAATCCTCCCGGTTATGGGCATTCTTGTCATATCTCTCCTAATATTTACATAGAGTCCACCGAGCGCCAGGCACACTGGAGACAGAACTGAGCCTCCGCCTTTGCTCGCAGGCTGGCAGAGGAGCAGACAAGAAGCGACAAAAGGTGAGGGTTCTACCACAGGGAGGGCAGAGGACGGAAAAGGGCTGGGCCAAGATTTCCTGGGGAAACAGGCATTTGGGGGGACAAACAGAGGGTGGGGGAAGAACTGGAGAGAGAAAACCCTTTCTGGGAAACAGCAACATGGCCAGAATGACTGGGAGGATGGGAAGAAGGAAGCATCCTGAGATGAAACTGGAAAAGCAAGGCAGCAGGACCTTAGAGACAGAAGCTTCCCCAGGAGATGGCTGGCAGCTGAGCTGTTTTGAAATCAGAATCCTCAGCAGGAAAATGAATGAGCAAGCTAAGGGTTAAGATGCCTAAAGATTTAAATTTGAATAACAGCGTCCCCGGAGGGTAAACATTCTGAGGGAAGTAAATTATTTCATCAAAAAATTAAAGAAAAGGAAACTGGAATGTCAGATTCATCCTCAAAAAATACATATTTATTAGGTTTCTACGGCCTCGTAGAAAGAATAAGCACTCATCTGCTACATCGGCTTATGGGTGGGGATGTGTGACTGAAACAATAAAACACTTTCACTTAATGTACTAAGTACAATCCCGAAAGCCGTGCATCAGAAATCATTTCACGACAAGTATACAGCATCAAATGGAAACACCCAACACTAGTTTTGTCCGTGTATCCCATTTCCAGCAAGTATTAATGCATCTTTGTGGGTTTGTGGGGCGGGGAGGGAGAAGGATGGGGAACTACTGAAAAGAAAAGCAGGTTTTTTTGTGTTTCTTTTAGATTATTTTATTTATTTATTTATTTATTTATTTGAGAAAGAGAGAGAGAGAGAGAGAGAGAGGGAGGGAGGGAGGGGGAGAGAGAGAGAGAGAGAGAGAGAGAGAGAGGGGAGAGAGGGAGGGAGGAAAGGAGGGGGAAAGAGAGAAACATTGATGTGAGAGTACAACATCCACTGGCTGCTCCCTTTATGGCCTCTCCTGGGGATTGAGCCCAAAACCTGATCATATGCCCTGACTTGGAATTGAATGAACAACCTTTTGATGCATGAGATAATGTTCCAACCAACCTAGCCCCATGGGCCAGGGCGAAAAGCAATTGTCACTGCCCACCTCCACTGCCGTTTTCCTTATTTTAGGCATTATTGGCAGTTTTATCTTCCACTCTGAAACAAGGCTTTGATGTGACCTCAGTGTACAACTTTCAAATTACACTCATTCTTCCATGGGCCTGTCTTTTGGGCACTCTACAGATAACCCCAGGAGTTCATCTGTGGTTAGCACAGCTTTGAATCCGGGGCAGCCAAAGGAAAGTGCAGTGCCGAGAAGCTGACCCGTGTTTTAAAGATGAAGGACAGAAAATCCTGACATCAGGTACGGGGCACCAGACTTACGAGGGGCAGGGTAGGGTGGGTCCGGAATTACTTTGTAAATTACATAAACGTCTAACCACTATGCAGTGCACAGGAAACAAATAAAACATTGAATGTCAACTGCAATTGAAAATGAAAAAAAAAATACTGAGATCAATTTTAAAAATCAGTGGCCTATTTGAGTTCAGGGGTGGCCAGCCCCATATACAGGAAGCATGGATGCTCTGTGAGAGGGATCAACCTCATGTTCCGCCCAACTTGGACCTCAGCCCACTCCTATCTGCTGGCACTTGGTGCCCGCACTTCTTGGCACTCAGACCCTGCGTTCTGATTAGAATAACTAGACATTCTTTTCTGAAAAGCTGCCAACTCAATCTCCGTCCTGTGAAAGGTCACCCTCCCTTTAACTGCTGGAATTCCTCAGCTTGTGTGGCCAAGGGGGTCTAGTTCTTTATCCTTCCTCTTCCCTCGAACATCACAGTTCATTCTGAGAGGAGGAATATAAACCACCACCCTGCTCAGGTGAGCTGATGGAAATGGCTACCCCGAGGCAGGCCTCCACAATACAATGTCCTCAGCAAAGGCGAAGGGAAGCTGACTTTTAACCCTTCACTCCTAAAAAGTGCAGAGTTTCAGGGAGAGACACGAGGTAAGTATAATACAACGTGTGGTATAATCCTAGCAGGGAAAAGGCTCAAGAGTCAAAAGTGCTTCCCATGCCCAGCTGGTGTGGCTCAGCGGTTGAATGCTGACCCACGCATCACCCAAGAGGTCACCGGGTTCAATTCCCAGCCAGGGAACATGCCCGGATTGTGGGATTGATCCCCAGTAGGGGGTGTGCAGGAGGTAGCCAATTGATGATTCTCTCTCATCATTGATGTTCTAGCCTTCTCTCCCTCTCCCATTCTCTCTCTGAAATCAATAAAACATGGTGTGGGTTTTTTTTAATTTTTAAATGTATACACACCCTTCTCTGTATCTATGGCAAAAATACCTGTATCTATGACATTCAATGTTTTATTTGTTTCCTGTGCACTGCATCCAAGTATCCAAGGATATTATCAACAACAATATTTGTACTGTTAAGAACTCAGAAACAATTAAAATGCCCATCAAGAGAGATACGGGTGAGTAAATCTGGATATATCTGCACATGCAATCACTACACAGAGTAAGATAGAGCTGATGTATTGGCATGGACGGGTACCCACCATATACTGCTGAGTGAAAAAAACTAAGTCGCCGAATGATTAAAAATGTGACTGCTTTTTAAAATACTAAGTATGTGTGATTGAGTGAATGAATGGTTATCATAAACAGAAGTTATCACTGAGGGTGGAAAGGGAGAAAAGAATACAATTTCATTTTTGTAAAGTGTTCACAATTTTTGTGACTATCACTATCATAACTCGTGAGTTGTGCTGGGACTATGAATCTGATAAGTCACCAAAAGTTCATCATGTGAGGGGGGAAAACTCAGGTTCCGCAGCTGGCCCAATCATGCAGCCATTCTTTGATTTTACCAATAAAATCTGCTCTGAAGGGCAGGTCTGAAAGGGACCAACTTGACCCAGAGTTCTTTATTTGAAAAATACCATAGTTTTTAAAATAGCATACCCTACTTTCTACCAGTTATTATTTTGAAAATTTAATAAACATTTTTTCTTACTGGTTTCCAGAGGTCCCCACCCAAACACATTACCAAAAATACCCGCTGCGAACCACCTTAGTCCACAGTCCCAAGTTTAATCCTTAAGCTTCCTTAAATCACGTTCAAGGGTAGGCCCGAACACTGTCTCAGACGTTCAGGTCCGCCACTTGAGGAATGGAAAGAATTACACCTTCATCTTTTATAAAGATACCAGTACAACACATCTTTCTCTATATTCTCGCTCTCTCTCTCTCTCTCTCTCTCTCTCTCTCTTTAAGGAATATCCCTTGGTTCCCTAATGTAATTCTCAAAATGACTTATTTGATAGGGATTTTAAGCACATGGTGTAAAAAGGACAAGTACTAATTACATCACAAAATATCCACCCTTAAAATCTTTAGAAAATGCACAGGGCGAGGCAAACGTAGCTTTACAGTTGTTTGTATGGAAAATACAATAATTAATGCTACAAGAATAAACTGTTTCCTGTACTTACAACTGTAAGGAAAAAAACACAAGTTCACAAATTAACAGAAGGTTTTAAATGTAATTGACAGTAAAGATACAAAAAGTGCAGTCTTCTCTCTCTCTCTCTCTCTCTCTCTCTTGCACTTAATATTAAACAGCGTTGTTCGCATAATATTTTCCAGGCTAGAATGTACTTTCCACTTGCCCTAATAATAAACCTATGCCCAGATGGGAAATGTAACCAGCACTGAATAAACATAATATAGACAGAGAGCAGGAGAGCCAGAGGTAGGCTAATAAAACTTGGGACGCCTCCACAAACTACAAAATGCTTAAAAAGGAAGGAAGGAAGGAAGGAAGGAAGGAAGGAAGGAAGGACGGACAAGTAGAATGGAGAGATTAAATAGTTATATATTTTACATGTGTGAAATCTGATTTCTTTCTGGATATAATGGACAGCATCGTATGTTGTCACAGGTGTAAGCTGGAGGAGAAGTGTGCCCTGTGTCACAGCACACGGTCATGATCCAAGCATCTACCCAACCTTACATTAACCTGCAAACTTTGCTCTAGATGCCAATCACCAATCAAATAACAAACAGCTCCCTAGCGTAATGTGTGCCCTACAATGAGGAGTCCAACTCAATGCATGGGTGAGAGATAAACAGACACAGATGAAGAACAGGAATAGCCACACGATTACAAAGCGATTTCCAATTTTTTTTTTTTTTTTCCCCTCTCTGAACACCCACACAAAGACAGCAGTTTCTGACAAGAATATTCTTGGCGAAAGATAAAATGACAGGAAGGTTTTGGTGGGATTTTTTTTTTTCAATGAGAAAAAGGCAGCTCTATATTCAATATGTAGACCACTAGGCAATACAGCATGATGTTTATTTAAGGCCCACATTCACAGCCCTCATAGTTTGCATATATCTAAATAACTTTTTTGGATGACAAAGAAAAGGAGACTGAAAATACAGTTCCTGTTTGGATGCCAATTTCACATTGTGCTTGAAAAGAAAAGAAAACATGGCAGCTTACCTTGGCACTGGAAACCTTGTTTCCCAAACCCCCTGAAAAACAGAAACAAGAACAAAATAACTTAACACATTTTGTGTTGGATGCCACATTTCAAGCCAGTTATATGACAAAGTATTCTACAGAGTTAAAAGGAAATACATAAAACCCAACGATTTGCTTGGGGAAACATGCCTACATAGCTCAAAGTACTGTGTAAATTCAATTTTGAAAAAAATCTCTCTGCTGTCTGAAGGCTCATTGAACTATTTCGATGTATCCAGATTCTTTCCAAAATGTTACACTGTTATCAACACTTAAATTTCAAGACAATCACATAATTGTATATTCAAAGCAGTTGGCCACAATATTCAAATAACATAAAAGGACCTTATGGTGCTGAAACTGGTTTTGCTCCGTGGACAGAGCATCAGCCTGCGGACTGAAGGTCCCAGGTTCGATTCCGGTCAAGGACATGTACCTTGGTTGCGGGCACATCCCCAAGAGACAGCTGATCAATGATTTTTCTCTCATCAATGTTTCTAACTCTCTACCCTATCTCTTCCTCTCTGTAAAAAATAAATAAAATATATTAAAAAAAAAAAAAAAAAAAAAAAAGGACCTTATGGTGAAGGGGGAAAAAGCAAAACAACACGTGCCTTAATTTGGTCTCTAAAGACCAACTGAAAAAATTTTTTCTCCCTAAAGACAGCTAAAAAGTGGTTTCATTTGTTGTGAATTTGTTTAAAAATATTATTTGTCTAGAATTTACTGAACAGCATCACTCTTGTATTAAAGTTTGGCTTAAAGGAGCCAGGTCTTACAAAGCATTCCTATTGCCTGCATTTAACATTATGATCTAATTTTTACTAAGAACCAAGAGCATTTGAAACATTTATGGAGGCTCTGTTGTTCTTGTAAAGGATTTACTCCCCCAGTGGAGAACCTTGACATGGGCGTTAAATTACAAACAGGGTTCTCCCAACGAGGATGGACTGAAATTTTTTCAGAAGGTGGTTAGTCCTAATCCCTTGTTTTACATAGCTTGTTACATTTACAAAACACTTCACATTTTTATAATTAACTTCATCATACCCCCCCACACACACACAAAAAAAAATACTTGAAACCCAAACACTTAAAGTTATCAGTGCTTGAATATGTAAATAAAACACAAATCAAGGACCTAGAGAAACACTGAAAAATGAAAACCACGGCTAGACAAGCCTGTTGATTATTATCCTGCAACCTCCGAGTGGCTGCTGGAGAAACACTGCTGGGGTTCCTCAGGGTTGGGGGGTGGGGTGGGGAGGGGGAAGACATGAAGACAGAGGTTGACCTTTATTTTCCACTTCACCTTAGACCTGGTGACCTGACTCCCACATCAGGTCACCAGGGGCTAATTCTTCAGGGCAACCGGTAGTGGAAAAACATGTGCTAGCCTGGGTATGTATGTTGTAGACCCTTTCCTCACGTACCAACCTCCTGCACGAGTCATCAGCAGTCTAGCTGCTCCCCTTTAATGGGATTTCACACTAAATGTCCTCTTTCCCCTGATGCTCCAAGAACTTGTTTTAAGTGGCCTTATCTACAATCACCTACTCCTCTGAGAGCAACTGCTTCGTAGGCTGACTACACAATGGGAATCATTCATAGAGGTGGCTGTGCTTTTCGTAAAAGTGTGCTTTTGAGCAGGAGTCTAAAAAGGGAAGGAAAAACGAAGCTCCTCAGCACGCCGAATTTGTGGGGTTCACCTTTGGAGATGTTTTCCCCACCTGTGATCCATTCACACAGAGCCACCAGCCATGCTGCTCCCCAGGGCCCCGGCAAGATGCACGCCACGCAGCCAGCTGGCGGCAGGGCGCTCTCCGTGGCCGGGTCACCTGGAGAGGGCAGCGCTCAGGGACCTCGGCCACAGCTCTGACTTGGGGACCTTGGCAAGCTATCCGTGCACAAGCCACAGAAAAGGCAGGGTGGCCGGCAACCCAGGGGGGAAAGCCCCAAAAACCTTCAGCTCCTCACACTGCACGACCTGGAGTCCCTTAATTCCAGCTTTCTAAACTTTTGCATGTCTTTCTTTTTTTCTTTGTTTTAAGGCGGGCGGGGGAGGGGGGAAAGGTCACCGATCTTTCGAGAATCGTCTCAAGAAAGCTGTAAGTATCTCACCCACAAAGAGCACCTACAAGTTCGCCTACTTTTACAGGGTTCAGAGGCCCCCTGAGAGCAGCCCATGCATTCCCCAGGGCCTCCCAAACCCCTCTCCTCCCCGCACCCCGCGTTAAGAATAGCTGAGCTCACTGGAAATTACCTGAACTCTGACACCTTGAGCCCTTACAGTATTTTTCTTAAATAAGGCTTCTGTCCTCACCGACAGGGTTACGGGTCTAATCTGGTGTTGACAGGGTCTATTTTAAATGACTCCCTCTGCCCTTCTTGCCTTTTGCCTTGCTGTTTTAGTCCCACCTCCCTCCCTCCCCCCCTTTCCCCCACGGTAAGCTTTCAACAGTTTGTTGCCTCGTCTCTCTTTGGGCTCAGCCGGCAAAGTCAAAAATCTTTCCGTGCCCAGTAGATACAAGCTATACAGTAGGCAGCGGCCCAAGGTTCCAGCGGCGTCCGCGCCCGCTGGGACACATAAAATAGCGCCCCCCCCCCCCCCCCCCCCGCGGCCGAGGGCACCCAGCCCGGCTCGCCAACTTGGACAGCGAGGAGGCGCAGCCGCCGCAGCCGCGGCTCCTCCCGGGCGGGCGGGCGGGCGTGCTCCCCGGGAAACTCTGCCCTCTGGATCCTCCTTCTCACTTTCCCCTTCGCTCGCTCACACCCGGCGGGCGGGCGCGCCCGGAGGCACGGGGCCACTAGCCTCGTGGAAGGGATCCCTGTCCCTGCCTCCCCCTCCGCCCCCCAAGCCCCGCGGCCGCAGGGGGCGTGCGATCGGGCGCTGACTTCCCGGGAGTCCTGCCCGCGTGGGCGGCCGTGGCCCCGGCGGCGGGCGCGCGCGTGTCATTCCGGGCGAGAGAGAGTTCGGGACTCCCGCCGGGCTCTCCAAGTTCCCCGAGCGAGTCCGCCCCGGAGCGCACACTCCTGCGGGGAGGGAGCAGGGTCCCCGGGGCGGTTGGCGGGGGGTAGTGGGGAGGGAAGGAAGGATCCCGGACTCCCGGGGAGGGCTGGCCCCCCGCCGCGGCGCCGGGGAGGGGTCCCGGGGTCGGTCCGCGCGCCCCGCCCGGGCGCACCTACCAGATGAAGTCGGTGCAGTGGCTGCAGAAGGTGGGCTGCTTGAAGAAGCGGGCGATGAATTTGTGGTCCTTCACCTCGTGCACGTTCTTCTGCCTCAGCGCCCCTTTGCGGGCGAAGCGGTTGGCCACGTCCAGAGGCGTCGTGGAGTCGTTGGCCGAGAAAACGTCAGCCATGGTCCCCCCCAACCACCTCTTGCCGCCGCCGCCGGGGAGCTGCAGCCCGGGAGGGCCGGGTGGGCGGGCGGGGGCGGAGCGGCGGGGCACGGGCGACCCCGGCGAGGGGCGAGGGGCGCGGCGGCGGCGGTCCCTGTGAGGAGGCGCGGCGGCGGCGGCGGCGGCGGCGGCCGGGGAGAGTCGGGCGGAGCGGCGCGGCGCGGCGCGGAGCGGAGCCGCTCACTCGCTGGCTGGCCCCACGCTCACTGACAGCCGGGCGCCCGGCTCTCGCGCTTCCTACTCTCGGCGGCGGCAGAGGCGGCCCGGAGCGGCGCCGCCCACCGCGCATGCCCGGACGCCAGAGCAGCGCGCGCGGGACGGGGGCGCGCGCGGGACGGGGGCGCGCGCGGGACGGGGGCGCGCGCGGGACGGGGGCGCGCGCGGGGCGCGGGCGCGCGCGGGGCGGGGGCGCGCGCGGGGCGGGGGCGCGCGCGGGGCGGGGGCATTTGGAGCCCAGAAACCTGAGGCCGCAGCGGTGGCCCGGGGAGAGCCTGCCCGGAATGGGGCGCGTAGGCGGACACTGGGCGGGGCGCACCCGTTCGCCGCTGCCGCCGCCTTTTTTTTTTCCTCCCTTTTCCTCCCCTGCCTGCGCCCGCCTCTCCTCCTTCCTCTGCTTCCGCTCCTCTCTCTCTCTCTCTCTCTCTCTCTCTCTCTCTCTCTCTCTCTCTCTCTCTCTGTCTCTCTCTCTCTCTGTCTCTCTCTCTCTCTGTCTCTCTCTCTCTGTCTCTCTCTCTCTGTCTCTCTCTGTCTCTCTCTCTCTCTCTCTCTCTCTCTCTCTCTCTCTCTCTCTCTCTCTCTCTCTCTCTCGCTCTCGCTCTGCTCCCGTCCCCCTCCTCCCATCCCCACTGGCTTCCTCCAGCTCCTCTCTCTCCTCTTTTCTCCTCTCCGGGTCGGAGTTCTGCGCTGCCCGTGCGAGGCCCAGAGGAGCCCTGGATCCCAGGATGGGCCGCCAGCGCCGCCCGCCTGGTCGGACCTGCTCCCACCCTGGCCCCGCTGCCTGCGCTCTGCAGCTGCCCCTTCTATCAGCACGTATGGATTTGAAGTTTCGCCTGGCTAAAACCACTCCACTTGTGTGTGCCTAAATGCCTTACCCCCACACCTTCACGCTGTTTATATATGGATGGCAGGTGAAAGGGAGCGATTCTGAACTTCACCCGTGTGGGATATAAAACAAACTCATAGACACGACTGCATGGTGGTTACCAGAGGAAGGGAGGTGAGGGGTGGTAAAGAGGATGATTTGACTTTTGGGTGACGTGCACACAATGCAATAACCAGATCATGTATCATGGAATGGTGTACTTGAAACTTATATAATCGTATTAACCAAAGTCACCCCCAATATATTTAATAAAAACAAAATCATTGAATATTGACCTTTCACTTGTCTCCAGTCGTGGTCCTGTGTTTCATTGGCACCCGGTATCGCCCTCTGGTTTGCAAGTGGGTTAGCTAAAAGGACTTGTTCTGATCCATCCCCTTGCTTGATGCCTACCACTGTTACAGCGTTGCTCATCAGGCTTTCTTGATTTTACAAGTCCAGAACTTTAATTTGGAAATTGTTTGCATACTAAGCTAATTATTTTGGTAATGGCAGGTGTGGAGTGCAGCCAGTGCATTCGCAAATTACCAAGTAAAAGTGCTTGTGAGAGGATAGCTGGCATGCATATGCAAAAGACGCACTGGGGATGTACCAACTAATTACTTGCTGAATGTTTATTCGTTCTGCCTGGAGGATATTGAGATACACGAGGGGCAACACCCATCTCCCAGCATTTCGTTAGTGTTCACTAGGTTCACAAATCAACTTCATGAACTGAGGACATCAAGGAAGTGAACAATGCCATCTCACACCTGTCAGAACAGCAGTCATAAAAAAAAAAAAAAATCAACAAGTAAGTGTTGGCCAAGGATGTAGAGCAGTGTTTCCCAAAGTGTGGTACTCGTACCCCCAGGGGTACGGGAAGAGTTTGGTGGGGGTACACGTTGCGCCGGAGTTTGGTGGGGATATGCACTGCACCGTGCTTAGCTGCGCCTAATTCTACGTTCTCATGAGTACAAGGTGTACTCAGCGTTACGAAAACTATAGAAGGGGTACACATATGTCAGAAGTTTGGGAAACACTGATGTTGAGAAAAGGGAACCCTCGTGCACTGTTGGTGGGACTGAAAGTTGGTGCAGCCACGATAGAAATCTGTATGGAGGTTCCTCAAAAAATTTAAAGTAGAGCTCTAGCCCATGTGGCTCAGTGGGTTGAGCATCTTGGGTGCACCAAGAGAGGTCACTGGTTAGATTGCTGGTCAGGGTGTGTGCCCAGGGTACTGCTAGATCCCCAGTAGGGGGCGTGCAGGAGGCAGCCAGAAGATGTTTCTCACATCCATATTTCTCAGTCATTCTCTCCCTTCCTTTCTCTCTAAAATCAATAAAAACATATTTTTAAAAATTCAAAAACAGAGCTGCCGTAGACGTAGTAATTATACTTCTGGGAATTTATTCAAAGAAAACAAGAACACTAATTCAAAAAGACATATGCACTCTTATGTTCATTGCAGCATTATTTACAATTGCCAGGGCCAGGAGATGGAAGCAACCGGAGTTCATCAATAAATGAATGGATAAAGAAGATGTGACTTTGGGTGGTGGGCACACAGCGCAATATACAGATCATGTATCATAGAATTGTACACATGAAACATATAATCTTATAGGAAGACTAGAGGCCGGGTGCATGAATTCATGCACCAGTGAGATCCCTCAGCCTGACCTGGGATCTGGCCAAACCCAGCTCTCCGACATCCCCTGAGGGGTCCCAGATTGTAAGAGGGTGCAGGCCAGGCCAAGGGACCCCACTGATGCACAATCAGGGCCAGGGAGGGATTGCCGGAAGGCTCCAGGGTGTGTCTGGCCTATCTCACTCAGTAGCAAGCTAACCTATAAGTGGGAGCAACTACCCCTTGGTGGTCAGAGCAAGTCAGAGCAAGCAGTTGAGTGTCCATATTATATCATTAGCATATTACACTTTGATTGGTTGAATGGCCAACTGGACAAAGCATAATAGCTTTTATTATATAGGATGTGAGTATATATGTACTAGTACACTCAACAGAATATAACTCAGCAATAAATAAGAACAAAATTTTAGGCATTTGTGACAATATGGATGGACTTAGAGGGTATTATGCTAAGTGAAAAAAGTCAGACAGAGAAAGACAAATACTGTATGATTTCACTTATATATGGGATCTTTTTTAAAAAATGAGTAAACAAACCAGAAACAGACCCTTAGAAACAGAGAACAAGCTGATGGTTGCCAAAGGGGAGGAGGGTGGAAGATGAGTGAAAAATAAAGTGAAATGACATTAACAACCAAAACATCCAAGAGAAAGGGGGGAAAACCCCAAAAACATGTTGTTTAACACTTCAAGAAGTAAAATAAATAAATAAATAAATAAATAAATAAATAAATAAATAAATAAAAATTCTAAGTATATACTATCTTAGAGCATTTCACATAGACTGTCAGGTTACCATTTTTAAAAATTGCCTAATTGAATGCTAGATTATAGGAATATCTTTTATATTTTCTCATGTGCAAGATATGGACTGGCCTTTCATGGGGCACGCACACACTATTGGCCCAGGTCCAATCCCTTCAGCCAATGTACTTAGTGCTTAAAGAGATGGCACCTTCTTGATAATCTATTAGAAATAGAAATTTCACCATACATAGTGGCCTCTCCAGTCCAAGGATTTTTTTAAAGATTAAAAAAGGATAGGAAAGTAGATCAAATTCTCCACCTTAGGTAACTCAAGCCATGAATGTTAATCTACAATATGTATATAAAAGCCTATGCGACCATTACAACTGGTCAACTGGTCGCTATGATGACATACTGACCACCAGAGGGCAGATGCTCAATGCAGGAGCTTCCCCCTGGTGGTCAGTGTGCTCCCACAGCCAACCTCCCGTGGTCCCTCCCCTATTGCACCAATTGGCCCTCATCGCTGGCCAGGCTGAGGGACCCTACCCATGCACGAATTTGTGCACTGAGCCTCTAGTTGCTTTATCATCCTAAATCAAAGGGAGCACGGTAGAATGAAACAAATGATTCTTTCCTCACAGCCATTTTTATGAGACAGAAGTCCTCACACATTTTATGAAGACAAGCGTCTTTCTATTTACCTGAAGCCTTGATGTGATGGTGGAGGAAGAACAGCGGGGAGTTGGAAGCTGGGATTGCTGATCGTGGAATTCCTGCACAAAGTAATAGGGACGATGAGCTAAGAACCAATGGGCCTTGGCAGCAGCCTGCACATCTGTGTTCGGAGTGACTGATTGCAGCAGTGGGTAGACCAGATGGAGAAATATATTGCTTTTCTTTCACGTTGTGGCTTTGCTTTCTTGCCTCATTTATTACTGTTGTTCCTTGTGGAGAGAACGAACTGGAAGTTTGTTGATTGATAGCTGGGCTGAGCTTGAGTGCTCAATTGTCTATAGCTCCGCTCAACTGTAAGGGGGGGGGGGGGGGTGCCGGGAGCAGGGAATGATCAAGCAGTGTGACACTGCCCCTGGCAAGGACTGATGGGAATGTGAACCAGAGTTGGCCCTAGGCCACCCACCTGAGAAACCTCCTTGGGTAGCCCTCAAATAGAGGGAATTACAGAAAGAACCCCTGGGGAGGGGTTGGGAGTCAGTCTGGGCATTCCTGATGATTTTATTTTATTATTTTTTTTTGTTAATCCTCACCGAGTATATTTCTCTATTGATTTTTAGGGAGAGTGGAAGAGAAGAAAAGAGAGAGAGAAACATTGATGTGAGAGAAACATATCAATTGGTTGCCTCTTGCAGGACCCCTGGCCGAGGAGGAGCCTGCAACTGAGGTGTGTGCCCTTAACTGGAATCGAACCCAGGACCCTTTGGTCCGCAGGCCAGCGCTGTATCCACTGAGCAAAACCAGCTAGGGCCCCGATTATTTTACATCTGCTGTTTCATGGGGACCTTGCAGGAGAGAAAAGGGGATGGTAGAGAATGGTAGACAGAACACAGTTTGTAGGATCCCTCCTCTGTGACTCCTGTCTTTAGAGGAGTGAGCTTGAGACTCTCAAGAGGTGTTGCCTAGAGCAGGGGGACCCAATGTCTGGAGGCAGGGATCAAAGCTAGGCCACTAAAGTGATGGTTCCAAACCAGAGTGGTTTATGTAAAACTGTTGTCCCTTTCCCCCTCCTTCGCCACAGTCCACAAGTGGACTGCCCTGAGCAGC